TCTAAAATGTCTTATATAATGGGACGTAAGAAGTACTATAAGACGATTTCAATAACAAAAATGCCATATAAATTAAAAAAAAATACATTCGTGGACGTGGTATAGAGCGAAACCCTAAACATCGATAATGTGAATTTGTAATTTTGTATACTAAAAGAAGTTGGTTTCGAGGAATGGATAGGCTTATTATATAGTATAGTTATATACTTTCTCTCTTGATAATCGCACAAAAAATTAAGTTTAATATCTTCCTTTTAGTTTAACATTTTCACCGGCCCGTAGGGAATAACAATACTCTGCAATCGTTAAAATCAGATGGATGTTTATTTCCGTTCGTGTAAAACTTATTTTTAAAATATATATTCTCACTAGATATATATTTTTATGGTGTTGGCAATACAAAAATATGTTTAAACGTAACCTATATAGCATATGAACTTAAACTTTTTACTAGCAAACTTTTTCTATGGTGTCTTTAGCACGCAAAAAGAAAACTTTGCTATAGTGTTGGCAAAAGAATTACGTTTAAGATTAATTGCTTTAGTTTTTTTTTAATAACAACTTTAGTTAAAAACATACCTTTACAAAATATCACATATGAACTGTAATGCGAGTGTCAAACTAAAAATTCAAAATATATCAATAAAAGTTACGTTATAGGGTAAGTTTTTCAAACATCATTTGGCTAGATTCAACAATATATATAATACTATTATACATAGATCTATATATTTAAATGATGAGATTCTCTGAAATCGTTCTATTATAACAAAAGTTGTCAGGAGAGGGGGGCATATAATTCAATATTTGAAAAAACAAGATTCGCATTTATATTTTGAATTAAAATAAATGGCCAATTTTATTTAATTTAAATTTCTCATAAAACAAATAATAAAAAAGGCTACATAAATACAACCGTCACTTCACTAGTTTCCTTCATATCCTCATCTTCTATCTCTCTCTCTCTTCTTTTACCGGCATAACTTGTGTCTGACTCTAAACTCCATTACCTGTTTCACCGATAAAGAGTGTTTTTGCTACAATATCTCTACTTCTTGAAATAATATTTGAACAAAAAGAAAAAAATGTCAGGAAGAAGATCACGTTCAAGACAATCATCAGGAACTTCAAGGATTTCAGAAGATCAAATCAACGATCTCATTATCAAGTTGCAGCAGCTTCTTCCTGAGCTTAGGGACAGTCGTCGCTCCGACAAGGTACGCTAAATCAAACTAACTCAACTACT